ATTTATACACCAAAGAGATCACAGGAGCATTGATTTTCATCATTTCAAGTAGACCTGTGCAATGAAAATTTGTGAATTATTTTTTTCTCATGTCCATCTGGAATTTCCCTTGTTGCAACTTGTGCCCGTTGCCTCTTGTCCTTTCATTGTGCACCTCTGAGAGGAGGATGGCTCTGTCATCTCTATAACCCCTCTTTAGGTAGTGGACAACTGTAATAAGATCTCTCCTCAGTCTTCTCTTCTCCAGGCTGAACAGACCCAGTTCTCTCAGCCTCGCCCCATAGGGCATGTGCTCCAGCCCCCTGACCAGCTTGGTGGCCCTCCACTGCACTCGCTCCAGTATGTCTATGTCTTTCTTGCACTTGGAGGGGGGAGAGGAGGACTGGACACAGTATTCCAGATTCGGTCTCATGATAATAACAACAATAACAACCCTGATGTTCTATTATTGTCTATTATTGTCTTCTATTGTTCTTTTATTGTCATTAGTACAGTAATTCCTAGAGTCCTCTTTGTTCTGAGCATGGTAGAGACATACAAGAGTAGACAGCTCCTCTCTCAAAGAGCTTTCAATCTCACTAGACCAAAAAGAGAGGAGACAAGATGTAATATAGATGCAAAGACCATGACACAAACAGATTGTGCCAGAGCTTCTCAGTCATAGCAATGGCTACCCAGGCATCTCAGCACACCCAGAAGAGGTGTCAGCCTCCAAGAGAGAAAACATTGTATGTGAATTATAAAAAAATACAGCTTAGCAGCAAGCCCCCAAACAGGAAGCTGCTCCTCCACATGGAACAGTATCAGAGCTGGCAGGGGCACAGCTGGCAGGAAATAACTGTCATCCACATAGCAAAGGGCAGGAAACTGCCTGGGAAGATGTGTTTATGAGTCATAGTAGCAGGATTCACATAAGGCTCCAGTTTAGCTACTGAAGAACATAATCATTTACACATCTCTGTGCAGTCAAGATCATTTTTTCTCATTCAAAATGATTTGGGGGCTGCAAAAGCATTTTCAGCTGCATGCAATCAGTTGCCATTCTAAGCCAGCCTAAGCAAATTCTTTTTGCCTGGTTAGAAAAACCCCACTCATTTATTTTTTACTGGACATCCCACTCGTTCATTTTTTACTGGACAAAGAGACCACTCCCATAGCTGTTTCAAAGCTTCCTGAGCATGTGTTTCCTATTGCCTGCTAGTGC